ACTGGTTTAGAGAGTTGTAACGCAAAATATTAGTTTTTACTTCGACCCGACGTTTTATTAGCAGTTTTTCGACGATTCTCCACTTTTATTTAGATGTAGTATGAGCAATAAAAATTACTCAAAATTCAAAAAATAACTAAATTTAGTACCTAAATTACTAAATTACTGATACAAAATATGTAAGATACATAAAGATAACAAAATAACCTAACCAATACAGTGTCCAATTAATATCATAGGATTTTTAAATATTGCCTAATAACACACAATCAGTCCTCTAGACTCGATACTTGTATGTCGGTGATTGGCAGTTTGTCTAACTGTTCCGTTGTTAGACTGTAGCAGTATGGAAAACTAGATTTTCCTGCCTCACCACATTGTTAATGCCTCCTACCTAATACGTGAGCGATACTCGAACGACGTTTATTAATGAGTGCTGCGCTCAATATGCACTAATTATTATTTTTTGCAGCCTATGGTACTGATCTAACTGAACCTGTTTTTATCCAGATCGCCAGTCTCTAATTAGTAAGGTGTAATTGTATCAACTGTACGCGGTACAGTTATAAATTTATTCGCAGATCGCTTTACTAGGCGTTCACGGAATTATGTCTGTGACACCATATAAGCATCCTACATTACAAAAATCACTAAAGTTTTCATTTGACCATAGCTGCATAAACGATACATATTAGTGCTTAGAGCACCAGACGTTGGGTTGAACCAGAAATATAACATTATTAACGGTTCAAAACGCGAAATACGTTAGTTAACTAATTTTTAATTCTCTAACTGCCTACGTTCCGTTGTTTCAGCCCAAGCAGTGGTCATGGGGGATAAAATGATAAACTGTTCTTCAAATAAAAAACAATCAGTGCAATGGACACAGACATCAGTTCGCTTCAAGTCTCACTAGTGAAAATGGTTCTGGTTCTTTACGAGGTCTCTTAAAAATTGCATTGTAGGATATAGCTAAGCTTTTTCTCTACTATATTGTCATTAGACAATTTTGTTAATTAAATGACACATAAAGAGTTAATTATTCAATTAGTACAGTGCGTGACTCATAACAAAAGTGCTTGGGTCAATGCCAATAAAGAACAATGTGTATTAATTCTGAGTCAAAACTAGGCGTATAGTATACATATAACGTATTAAATAGATAATAGATAACTTTGCGCTTGACTTGCTTTTTTTCTACAATATTGGAAGACTAGCAAGAATAGCGATCACTTGATTGCCCCAGCCATTTTACATCTAAGCAAGCAGTGACGACCTATTTTGGCTTTGACGTACGTAAAACTATAAACTAAAACTTACGACCCTTTAGTATAGCCCTGCATTTTTACCATTAGACCAACGATAATGTCAAGTATTGTTAATCTAATTCACGAGATGTCACTTATTCGAATCTTGTCTGTGACAAAAAATCAGATTCCCCGTGACCCCGACTGCTGCAAAGCATCAGAAACGTCGGGCCGAAGTTAAAAATCATTTTCAAATAAGTTTAACTAATATATCGCGTTTTAAGCCGTTAAAGTGTTTTATTTTAAAAAAAACAGTCAACATTGTTCACATTTTAGTTACTGTATAGTTAGATTTTAAGTTAAATATTAAAGTACTTATTATACCAGCTATATGATACTAAATCTATCGAATCCATTACCGTATCTCTAATCTTTGATGGTAGACCATGACTTCCGGTCACCAGAAACTAATATGTAATGTAATGGAACCTGCGTTTTTTATTTGTAGAGATTCTTTATGAGTTGTATAAGTTTGTACCTATGTTTTTTTGTATGTAGACAGATGATATATTTTTCTTGCAAGTGGATTAAGAAAGTGAAGAGAAAATACGTATTTGTGAACATATCCTTTTTTTTGAGCGAGGCTGCTTCAACACTTGTTAGTTAAAACCTTACTGCGATAGCATCAATATTAGTTGTAATTTTATTGTTAAGAAAGAAACATTAATATGTTTAATTTATATAAATTGATTCGCTATAAATGCTCCCGAAGGTGGTTCGAATCCAAGAGTCACGCTCAACGCATTTTTGTGAAAGACCAGCGTTATATCGAGCCAAAATTTCGTCCGCTACGAAAATAGACCGTGAAAGTCGTAGTAAAAATATCCCCTCGCTCATTGAGGACCGGGCTTCCACGGCGAACACGCTGCGCCACATTTTAATTAGAATTAAGAATCTAACCTAAAGTGTTAACTTCATTCATAAGTTACCGGGTACTCCCACGGTGCGAATGGGGCTCGAAGAAAGGGGACTCGCAAGGCACGCCGCTTCCGCCGTACGCCGGAAACGACTGTTCCCTGTTCCCGTCAATTATTATTTCCTACTTAGTGTTTCCTTTAGGGCCCGTAATTAGGCCTAAGTGTGAGTAGTAATTGTTCGTCATGCCCGTTTTTTGGGGCTGTAAATGGGTTGAGTGTGAAATAATTGCATCGAATGTTCACGTAACCCCTTAAAGATTTCTAGAAGACTTAATTACTAAAACACTTTAACGGTTTAAAACGCGATATATATTAGTTAAACGTATTTGAAATTTATTTTTACCTACGGCCCGACGTTTCGGATGCTTTGCAGCCGTGCTCACGGGGAGACTTAATTACTGTCACTCTTCAAAAATAATTCGTAACATGTGTCATAGATGTGTTTATTCCAAGTAAAAATAAATAAACATGTTTAGTCTAGACGTTATAAAAAACGGTCTTAAATGACTCGATGCAAACTGATAAGCGAAGAATGTTATTTACGTGAATTATTCTTGAAAGTATTAAATTAATGTTGAAAATAATTAGCGATATTATGATAATTTTTTATTCTCTTAAATTATAAACTGACAGGAATAGGCTTTTAATTTACGAAAACAAATGTAACCAATTCACAACTTTCACATCAATGAAATTGTTTTATTCGCCGCGCAATTACCGAGATGGCGTCGTCTCGCTCTCTCCTACAAGGTTAAGCGGGTGCGAGCGAGATGGAGGAAGGAAGTGAGAATGGCGGCGTCCATTCATTGATCTTTCCTTCTTGTCAATGAGCTAAAGTAATTTTTGTTCTATTCATAATAGTTTTATTGTTAGTGTGAACTGTGACCTTCACGAAGTCAGTGCACTTCGCGTATTGCTATTTGATAATTTATTTATGTGTAAATGTTTTTTTCGACAATGACATTTTTATTTCCTATAATAATTTTATAGTTATAAGAATTGGAAACAGCCACTTGAAGGGGCTATGGCCTTGAGTTCGAGTCCCGTCGCTATCCTTTTTTTTTAATCTAAAGAATTTGTCTAAAAATTTTTTAATAATAGTTATCGCGTTACGGGTTCAGTCTGTAAATTTGAATGTTCTATGTCAAAATAGTTTTCTTCTTTGGTATTTCTTCCGTCAGCTTTCGTACCGTCCTCTATATTAAAAAACCTTAGTTATTTATTTTAATTTTATGTACAACATATCTTAAGTATCTCTGAAGCTAAGCTAAATTGTTAAACGTGTTGCCTAGCAATGCGTTAAGCGCGAGAGGTTCTGAGTTCGAATCCCGAGAAAACAATTGTTTCGCAGGCAGGGCAAATAAGTCTGAACCGGTCTAAACTCGTGGGAAACCGGATTTCAAACATACATTTATGATTAATTTGCTTTATTACATGTCCTTTTACATTGATTGACAAGAATTGTTTTAGATTTCTACTCTAATATTATTTGTGTCTCGTTTAATTGTTGAATTTGACATGAATGGATATACTATTAATGTATGAAAGTAATTTAAAGCTGGCACACCAATTAATAAATAAAAAACATATTTAAGTATAAAGCGTATAGTAAAACAGTATAAACGCTATCAGTATTTATATTATTTCTACGTTAATTTAATGAGTTCGTTTGCCAAATGGTGCTGCTATAAATACAATTTTATAGCGTAATCTATAAAAATAACCAACCTTTAGCCTCGCTTGACGCCACCTCGTCTATCTGAGCGTGACGTCATCTTCATTGAATGGAGGTCTCCACCCCCCAGTCTGATTTTCACCCTCTGACGTCAGTTGCTAACAAACTTTCAAACTATATCGTTTACACTTTGACTGGGTTATCGTGGTTATTCAACGTAAGTTTGATATGCGTGGGTTAGATTGCGCAACCACACACAAAGCTGAACTCAAATAAGTTTTTTTTTATATAATAGAGGAAGAGGTTTATTTAATGTAAGGTCTATCCCACGCGTATAACGTCTAAGAGAGATGAGCTATCGGCCTGGTTTGGCTTTGCATATTCGAAAACCCACAGACTGAAACGCGATTCGACAAGGTTTTTTAATCTGTGGATTTCCGATATTTCTACCGCCCATTTAATATCCAGATTTCCAGACGATATCCAACATTTCAAGTCATCCCAAGATAAGGTAAAATAAAAAGGGTTACAGAGAAATTTTCGACTATTATTATCAAAAGATTTTCGTTCCAATTTTAAGTTTCCTAAATCTATATTATTTAAGTTTCCACATATTCATTTTAATAGCTCGGATAAAATACATTTCCACCGGCTTCTGTTGGATATCAAAGGATGCAAGAAAACTGTACAATGTTCCAGGGAACATGTACGTTCTTGCATCATAGTTTATCCCAGGGGATAAACTATGATGATCCGGTGTTCGGGGCCGTATTTCTCATCGCCAAACATTTCACTTCGACGAAAAATTATTTAACGCTATCTCAAGAAAAGGATCAAGATTAAAAAGACTTTACGGACCGCCTATGTGCACTGCTAATCAGTTGTGTTGCTTAGCTTTGCATTAAGTATTAAAGGTCCTAGGTTCAAACACTTGTAAACAACATATCGTTTTCGTCGAGCAGAACATTTCGCTTAACCAATCATGGAAACGGACACAAAAAAATTGCCCCGAGCCCCACTGGGAATTCTTCTAGATTACACACTTTAACAACTCAACAACATGAATTAGAATGTTATTAGATTTTAGCAGTTTCTGTAACCATGGCTGTGAATGAAACAGGGCGTCCGGCGTTGAGCGGCCGAACGAATGGGAGCGGAAACGCGCGGTTAGTCCACTTCCTGTTTCCTGCGGGGCCGAGAGCGACGCACGCGCAGCCGAGCGCACCCGACCGTGCCCGAATGTACACGAAAATAGGTATCTATAACGTCGAGATACTGACGATTTTAAATAGATTCTTTAATGGGATAAAACGCTTAAAAAAATATCATTAATTTTGAAATATGACCCGGTGCCTTAGGCTAATCTTTGAAAACAAACAACATTAAACATGTAAATTTATCCGCTTATGGAATAAAAGCATTTTTCTTTCTATTTTTCACAGTCGATAGTATAATTTATAGTTTACGCGAGTAGTACACATTTAAATAAAACACTTTAACGGTTTAAAATGCGATATATTTGGACGACGTTTCGGGGCGGGGGGGGGGGAAAAAAAAAAAAAAAAGGGGGGGGGGGAAAAAAAAAAATTTTTTTAAAATTTTAAAAAAAAAAAATTTTTTTTTTTTTTTTTTTTTTTTTTTTTTTTTTTTTTTTTTTTTTTTTTTATAAATGATTGACATCTGAATCCACAAAACTCAAATGAAGATAAGAAATTTTAACGTTACTACGTGTTCTTACTTGACATCTGTAAACGGTGTTTCAGTGGGGACCGAACTTACGGACTGTTGATTATAAAAATACACTGCTGCATTGAACCAGCAAGGCCGTTGTATATGTAAATATATACATTAGCATTGTAGTTAGTAAGTCATAGTCGTAACTGGAAAGTCCTAAATCACAATTGTATCTCCTCATGTTAATTACACAAACGCCAGTATCCATCTATAGTATCTATAGGTCCATCTATAGTACAGTCGAGTTGATTCGCCCACGCAGTTGCCCACGCATCGCCTACATTTCCCCTTCATCGGCGTCCCCAAAACACCGCAATCCGCATACGGCATACGGCATAAGCGACACTACTAGCGTAGGCCCGACACGTCCCAGATTGTAATCTTACGCAGAACCATCGTCGCTATCGATTTGACGCTGAATACATTTTAGAGTTTTTTTCTAGACGAGCTGGTTCGTAAAACGTTGTTTTGTTGTTTGCAAGATTAATATTATTATGTAGATACAACTGTAACAAAAACTTGGTAATAATACATTAATGTTAAAATTTTAATATATTTTACATGATGGCACTATCTTATTACGCAAGTGTTAAGGTTGATATTACATTGCGCGAGAGGTGCATGTATCAATAATTTAAAAATCTTTACGATGACGTGTAGGACTCGGTAGCTCATTTGGTTAGAGCGTCAGCACGGAACGCTGTGGTTGCCGGTTCAAGTCCTGCCCAAATCGTAATTTGTTCAATTTATAATGGATTATTTTTACCAATGCATCATCAAATTTGATTAGCATAAAAACTATTTTTGCGGGTTATTTTAAAATATCAATTTTAATCATTAAAATCATTGCATAATCATATTTAGGTTTCTTGAACCGTTTTCGCAGCAACAGAGATGAATTATTTTCCTCCTTTTTTCCCCATTTCCCACTATTTCTGCACTCCTATAGGTCGCGGCGTGATACTATTTAGTCTTAAGTCCTTCCGATAAATACTCGAACTGACAGAAAAATAATTTTTCAATTCGAATAAGTAGTTCCTAAGATGAGCGCGTTCAAACAAACAAATTCTTAAGCTTTATTCTATTAGTAAAGATAATAACAAATAACACGCGCACTATAAATATCTATAGTTATGTTCTCATGTAAATTGCTATCAAATAGGAATGGGTCAGAATTTACCTTGCAGCATCTGCCCACGTCTAATCTTTGCCCTTCTGTTATATTGGAGAGGAGACGGCAATACAGTTGCGACAACCGACTTGCTACTTGACTAGCACGCAAAATTAATTAAACGGCTCACTCATGTTTTATATTCATTACTTAGAGTAGTAGTTAATTGAGAGTGATGTTGGTCTCGTAAGGTCGGGAGTTCGGTTCTCGGTCGTGCACTAAAATATTGTGAAATCCAGCATATTGTAACTCAATATTACACAGGTGTTGCACATTGATTTGGCCACTTTAAACTACTTAGTTATTAATTAAGCTTTGTTGAAGTTAGAAACTTAGTAGCTTCTAACTACAAGTCTAGTTCATTTATGCAAAATCTAATACAATGTACAACATCACTTATGTAACAATTTACTTCTTCAGGCGAGACGGATCTCAATACAAATACTACAATTTATTTAAATGCATATTTTACTTCTGTTTAAAATTAAAACTATTATAATTAATTCTTATTTTAGAATTGTATTGAAATAAAGTATTTTTTTTTGTTACTCTCACTAAAGCGATCTAAAGATATATTATATTAATTCTATCAACATCAATTTTTATAAAGATTATAGGTAACAAACAACTATTATTATAAAATGTTAGTTATTATTGTATGGAGTATGTATTTAAAAGTGAGATCAAAGACCGATAGTTTACATACTTCGGACAATTAGAAAGAAATAAAACAGTATATATTTGCCATTATATTTTTTTACATTTTTTAAATAGCCAGTAAAAGTCACCGAATAAATTTCACTCCAGAATATAAACTACTCGAAGCGGTGGTTTAGTTGAGTTTTCAGAGCAAAAATCTGTAGTATATATGATAGATACTCTTTGAAATTCACTTTCACACTAAATTATTTTGTGTTCATTTTTTTCTAATAGATTTAGTATATAATCATGCCAAGCTATTGAGACGTCATTCAGCTCGGGTGGCGGGAGTAACCCCCCACAGACACACAGACTCCCGAGCACCATTCACGAGCGGGGTTGGAGATTTGCATAATTTTATTCATGGCCGTAGTAATTTGGGTCTGGATAAAAATAAACTCATTTCTCAATGAAACGTCGGATCCATGTACTAAAATAGAAACTTTATTATTTCATGTATTAGCTAGTCATAAAACCTTGTTTTCACACACCCACCCGATGACGTTGCTTTTGAATAGCTCTATTATTAGTGTTTTCGGAGTGCCTCGTGCAAGGAAATATTAGACTCTCGCAGTTTTGCTTCCTTTTAAAACGGCGACGCCTTTATTTTCTTGTTCCGAGAAACTATTCAATGTCCTCAGATCACATTGGGATTTGAAGGCTTTAATACTTCGCATATGACGCAATTCACTGCTCTAACCACGCAGCAGCGAGGAACGCTGTGGATACCCCATCAGGTCCCGTCCGTATTGTTAAATTTACATAATTATTCTAAATAGATCTTACTAGATGTATTACTAAGTTACTAACATTTATATATCCCGTAGGCCACGGCGTGAAAACATATTTATGTCCATTGATCGATCTTGTTTAAAGATAGGTAGTTGATCTGACTTCTGTGCCCTGACGAAGAGAAACAATTTATTGTTTTTTTAAGGTTACAAACTCAAGACCTCTTAAAGCAATGCTAGCAAACAATTTTAATCATCGAACTATGTAATCTCGTTGGCATAAGTAGTAACTTGCTGCGCTAACCTAACACTTTTGTCTGGGGTTTATTCGAGTAGTGCATACGTTAATAAAACACTGTTTACAGATTAAAACAAGAAATAGTGCCTCTCCCCCATGACTACGGCAAATACACACTTATTTTAAATACATAACACTATTTAGTCAACGAAATATATAGTTACAAAAACATAAAATAAACGGTTACTTGTAACTTGTTTAGTTTGTAAACTAAGTAACAAGTTAAATTATTGCTTTCAACGGTATTAGAGCTTCTCATAAATAACACCTCATACAAGATACCCTTTTTATGGGTCATAGTCGAAACACTTGATGAATTGATTATTCCCTCCACATGTATGAGTGTTGACAGACAATACACGGAAACCGGCGAATTGTTAGATAACATTAGGCCGTTTCCGTCGATAATGCAAACAACGCAGATATTGTGGTAGGGCTGCCTCTAATCATAATTATATTTATAACTTGACGGGGTCGTTGATCTAATAGCAGCAACGTATGGCTAACAATCTCGCCTCTTTAGCCAAATGGTGAAATGCTTTGCGTTAAGCGCGAGAGGTCCTGGGCTCGAATCCCAGGGAAACTAAAAAAATGTTTCGGTCAGGCAGGGCACGGAAGTCTGATTAACTACTTGTTCAAGAACGGTGTGATCAGTGATCAGTGAAACGGACACAAAAATGTGTTCGCCCTATGCCCCACGAGGGGGAAACGGGATTTCACACATGGCTAATATTAAACGGATTGCGGGTTCGATGCACAGCGAGTCCGACGTGTTTCTAATTTTTCAATTTATAAGTTTCCTGAAACATGCTAGACTTCATCTGAAAATCATCTCAATCATCTTCATCTTAATATCCATTAAATGGGTGGTAGGAATATCCAAATTCCGCCCGGGTCACGAACCACAGCTTACAGATAAAAAACCGGGATGTTTAATCGCGTTTTAGTCTATGGATTTCCGAATATCCAAAGCCAAAATAGGTCTAAAAGTATCTTGTGTAAATGTTGTTTGGCTGGGGTTTTTTATTTCAAATAAAAGTTAGAGGCGGTCTTGCTCAATAACTGCATTAATTATTTCACACTAAGTGCCGTCTCGGATTATACAATATTCGGGGTTTTTTTCCCTGTTGGCAGCCCTATAGAAGCGGATGCTGCGTCTTGTCGGTGGCGCGACAGAGTGCCGGACGCGCGTCCGCAACGGCTCTGGAATCCACCACCTGCCATTCCATCTATGGATTCCATGTCAAACGCGTTCGCGATGCAGACTAGAAATATTGTTTTAATTGTCGAATATCGTAAGCCGAAATCATTATCTTGTTTTTATGTGAGGCTAGAGGCAGAGTGGACTAATACCAAAAAAATATTTAATAAGGAGTAAAATAAAAATGCGCCATTGACTTAGGCGAAAATGAATTTGTACTATTGTTTGTGTAAGAATAATGTTATCAATTTTCGTTTACTGTGCCCTAGTAGAATAACACTTTTAGCCTATTAAAATATAAATAACTCAAGTCATAAAATTGCAGTTAGGTTACTCTGTCTCTAGGGCTTCATACGTGGCTGGGGCTCTGTTATTTCACCTTCCACAGAGTGAACGTCCATTTCAGTTCCTTGCCTGTCTGTCCTCGTCTATAGTAAAGCAAAAGTAATATATATGACACTATGACGTAATGAAAATGATGTCACTGTGCACAGATTCTTAGCTCTATTAAATTGTGATCATATTTCACTATCGAATCAACCCCATGTCTGTCCATCTTAATAAAAAACCTTTTGTCAAAATCGATTGTAATTTAAAAACCGGCATCCGGCATAGTCAGCGTCAGAGCAACAGCACGGAACGCTGACGATGCCGGTTCACGTCCTGCCCGAGTCGAAATTTTTTTTTTCAATTTATTTTCGATTTTTAAATTATATAGTGCCTTCATTTGCAATGACATGTAAAAAAAAATAAAGTTTTCAAAAATCGATTGTTACATTATTACTAAAACATCTTTTAAGTGCCGATTTAATTTGAATTTATTTATTTTAAATTATTCATATTAGAATAATAAATGAAAACTGTATTGCTTGGTTTGAATAAAATCCTTTCTGAATTGTTTTTACATATTCTTTACATTAAATAGCATTTGTTTAATTCTATATCAATTCTAAGTACATAAGTATGTATTGTTAAAAGCTAAAAATATTTATTACCTGAGAGGACGAAAATGTCAGTTGAAATATTTTAAAATGTTTACTAACTTTAATTAAACTTATTAATAAAAGTTATTAGGAAAGCTTTAGCTTAGACATTGGATTTTAAAATTACGTTAGACACAGGGAATTAAGAAAAGAGAGAAAAATTTATCACTATTTTTACCTTCTTACCTTACCTTAAATATATTTATAAACTTTCATATGCCAATCTATACAAATATGTAATTTTCATTTATAAAACCGGCGTAGAATCTTCTAGAATTTCTCTCTTAATACATCTTGAATTACAACTTCGTACACACTTATGATTAAATATAACATAACGCCAACCACAGTCAAATGAACTCAACGATGTGTGCATCAAAAGCTGCATTACGATTATAGGCCGGTGTCACAACCGACGTAATAAGAGCTCTTCCTGTTGTTACTTGATAGGACGTAACACAACTGCTCACACATGCCAGTACAAATGCCACAAATCAGTTAATGTTGATGGGATGTGTTTTTATTGTAGTGTACACTATATATACTAAGAGACTGAAACTGAAAGATTTCCGTGGGGTATGGGGCAGTACTAATTGATTGTTATGTACAGGCAATGGTGTTAGCTAAATATTTTCCGACAACATTTTAATGGCGATGCGTTACATTATTAAGAATTTATTATGAATATAAGCATCGTCTGTAGTGTACGCGAGTAGTACCCATTTAAATAAAACACTTTCAAAGGCTTAAAATGCGGAATGTTAACTTAATTACAATTGATTTTAACTACCTAAACCCGTGACCACGGTTACTGCAAAAAAATCCGAAACGTCGGGTCGAAAAAATAACTTATAAAAAAGTTACCTAATACATTTCGCGTTTTAGACCGTTGAAAGTGTTTAAATTTTCAAAATATTAGCAACATAATTCTTTTCACGTTAAATATATCAATAAAACAAAACCACAAGCCACTTAATAAGAACAATTTTCGCAATAACACCGAAGCGTTATAACAACTATTGTCACTAAACAAGATAAAACGTATACATTTTGACCCTAGCTTAGTCCATTTGATTGATAAGGCTACACTAGAGTAGTGGTTATCAGCGCTTATCTGAGTCTGGCACAAAAATTCTCTTTATCGGCACAGGAACAATTTAGCGTGTGGTAATGGTGTCGGCTCGGAAGGATTACCAAGAGTCTGGGTCGCAATATCTCCATTTATTTTTTACATCGCCCGCGGTTTTATCAAGCTGTTGTGTCTGCTTTACGATATAACGATAAATGTGCAACTGCTGAGCTTGTGTCTTTTTTTTAATGATGGAGGGGAACAGATAAGCTTGGGGTTCACTCGATGGGAGGTAAAATACTCCATATAACATCTATACAAGCTGCGTTGTCGATATTTTGGCTATGGATATTCGAAAATCAACAGGCTGAAACCGAAACGCGACTGAGCTCAACGGCTTTTTCATCTGTGGACGGCGATTCGTGGCAGGACGGACTTTCGATAAACTCATTCGATATTCAGATTTCTAGACGAAGTCCAACATATTTCAGAAAATTTCAAAATTAAAAAAGGAAGGAACATGTTGGACCGGGTGGGGATCGCACCCAAGACCTGTTTGGTCTTCCCCCGACAAAGATCTCTCTTATAGGAGAGGGTTTTAAGAGGTTACAACCCTGCTTTTCGGCGAGGTTTAGTGGGCTTTTAATATTACCACCCCTACTTTAGGGGTGGTAATATTTAAAGATTTAACAATAATCACACACCCCATTTTAAAAAGAAATTCTCTTAGAAAATAACCTAATACAGACGTGACATTTCATCCGACCCTGGCCTCGAATTCCGAACTTGAAATCTGTAAGTGCGCCAACCACTATACCGACGAGGCACTTACTATTAAGTACGTTTGTGTGTCCATCGCTGACTGTATTGCTTTGAATCCTAGAATGAACTCACTTTCACTAGCACAAAAATACTTTAGTGCCTTGCTTAGATCTTGTCTATAAAAACCTATAAAAAATAATTCATTTAAATAGAATTTTTAGGGCTAATTGTGAAGGGAAATTTTAAATACTGTCTGTAGTTTAAGCGAGTTACCAAATAAGACGATGGAACAGATGGCGCTAGCATAACAGTTTTTACTTGAGACATCCTCCATCTTTAGTCTCCCCGTGACCACGGCTGCTGCAAAGC